CTGAGGCAGGAGAATCGCTTGAACCTGGGAGGCAGAGGTTACAGTGAGCTGAGATTGTGCCATTGCACTCCAGCCTGGGTGACAAGACCAAACTCCATCTCGAAAAAAAAATGTTTTTTTTCTGAGGAGATGTTTTATCAAGGACAAATTTATCAAGGGTCTCCGGCCTAAAAATGTCAAGAACCCATGATGTAAGGCTGAGAAGGCCACTTGGATCAAAAATCCTGAAAGTCAAGTTCCTATGGCCTGGCTTCCTGAGCCTCTTCGCTCGTGCGCCCCCTGGCAGTCAGGGCCGGAACAACAGGGCATTCCTATGCTCCAAATCGCAGCAAATCGTCCTTTGAAACCGTGGCTGAATGAACAACGCTCGACGTGCACATGGCTTCAGTTAATGGAAATAACACTTGCTGAATATCGTGCACCAGCATGTCCATCCCCAAACGCAAACACCACATTTTTAAAAGTCTAGGTGAATTCCCAACTGAAACCAGAAGGGTGACAGGTATGGGACTTTTCAGTATTTTTTTATTCTTTTTTTTTTTTTTTTTTTTTTTTTTTTTTTTTTAGTGGGGAGAAGTGTGTTTCTGGATTGTTTAAATATTTATAGTGAGCATGCCTTACCTTTGCAATGAAAAGAATACCAGATTTTTTTTTTTTTGAGGTAGAGTCTTGCTCTGTTGCCCAGGCTGGAGTGCTATAGCGTGATCTTGGCTCACTGCAACCTCTGCCTCCCGGGTTCAGGCAATTCTCCTGCCTCAGCCTCCTGAGTAGCTGGGATTACAGGTGCCCACCACCACGCCCAGCTAATTTTTGTATTTTTAGTAGAGATGGGGTTTCTCCACGTTGGTCAGGTTGGTCTCGAACTTCCAACCTTAGGTGATCCGCCCATCTTGGCCTCCCAAAGTGTTGGGATTACGGGCGTGAACCACCATGCCCAGCTGAAAACCAGATTTTTTAAAGTTGAAGTTTGCTGTAGAAAAACACTGTGGGAAAAAGTTATGGGTGGTGTTTTGTAGAGTCGCAGAAGTGCATGGGAGAAAAAAAAGTGCATCTCCGTAATTATTATAAGAATCACACTCATTGTATGGGAGGCTCTATGGGAGGGCTCTGAGCTGTGGTTATTAGATAAAATACAAGATTTCCAGGTAAAATGTGAAAAAAATACATATGAAGTAAGAGGCGGGGTCTTGCTCTGTGGCCCAGGCTGGAATGTTGTGCTGTGATCTTAATTCACACTGCAGTCTTGATCTCCTGGGCTGCAGCAATCCTCCTGCCTCAGCCTCCCAGGTGGCTGGGACCACAGGCAAGTGCCACCATGCCTGGCTCATTATTTTTCTTTTAATCTTTTTTTTTTTTTTTTAAAGATGGGGTTTCTCTGTGTTATTCAGACTGGTCTTGAACTCCCGACCTCAGGTGATCCGCTTGACTCTGCCTCCCAAAGTGCTGGGATTACAGGCATGACCTACAGCACCCAGCCTACCTGGCTAATTTTTAATTTATTTTACAGAGATGGGATCTCACTATGTTGTCCAGGCTGGTCTGAAACTCCTGGCCTCAAGTGATCTTTCCTGGGCATCCAATGCCCTGGGATTACAGGTGTGAACCACCAGGCCCAACCCTGAAATTTAAAGGTAACTGGGTACTCTTGTGTGTGTGTGTGTGTGTGTGTGTGTGTGTGTGCGCGCGCGCGCATGCATGCGCGCACTAAATCAGGCAACCGTGTTCTGAGCAGAGGAGTGCTTTGATCTGACTTACATTTTAATAGGATCCCTCTGGTTGCTGGTGGAGATGAGACTATGGGGGCGGCAGTGAAGAGCCCAAGAGGAGGCTACTGCCGTGGTCCGAGCAGGAGGTGATAGTCATTTGGATCTGGGTAACAGAGCCGAGGTGCTGAGAGGTTGACAGGTCATGATCTATTTTGAATGAAAGGCCATGTCCAGGCTCCTTAGCTCGGCATTCAAGGCTTCTCTCCAGCCCTGGACACACTTACTCTCTAGCTTCTCAGACCCTATAGCAGACAGAATCATGGCCCCGATGATGTCCACATCCTAACCCCCTGAACCTGTGAACAGGTGACCTTCCATGGCAAAAGGGACTTTGCAAATGAGATTAAGTTAAAGAGGTTTAGATGGGGGAGTGATTATCCTGGATTGTCTGGGTGGGCTCAGTGGAATCACAGGAGTCCTTATATGTGGAAGGTAGAGAACTATGAGACATACGGTAGAGGAGGAGGTGATGGGACCACAGAGGCAGAGGCAGGCGTGGTGCAGCCACAAGCCAAGGAATGCCAGGAGCCACCGGAAGCTGGGAGAGGCAAGGAACAGATTCTCCCCTGGAGCCTCTGGGGGGAGTGCTGACATCTTGATTTTTGGACTTCTGGCTTGCAGAACCATGCCAGAATAATTGTCTGTGTTTTTCTTTTCTTTTTTTCCCCTTGAGATGGAGTCTTGCTCTGTAGCCCAGGCTGGAGTGCAGTGGAGCGAACTTGGCTCACTGCAACCTCCACCTTCTCGGTTCAAGCAGTTCTTGTGCCTCAGCCTCCTAAGTAGCTGGGACTACAGACATGTACCACCACACCCAGCTAATTAATGTATTTTTAGTAGAGATAGGGTTTTGCCATGTTGGCTAGGCTGATCTCGAACTCCTGACCTCAGGTGATCCGCCTGCCTCGGCCTCCCAAAGTGCTGGGACTACAGGTATGAGCCACCTGTGCCGAGCCCTTGTGTTTTAAGCCCACGTTTTATGCTACTTGGTTACAGCAGCCACAGGAAGGTAATCTAGGCTCCTTCCTCACCCCAGGCTCTAGCAGGTGTGTTAGAGCAGGGGTCTCCATCCCCAAGCCCCTGGGCTGCACACCTGCACGGGTCCATGGCCAGTTAGGAACCATGTGGCATAGCAGGAGGTGACCAGCACTTCAGAGAGCGAAGTTTCATCGGTATTGACAGCCACACCTTCTTTGCTCATATTACTGCGGAGCTCCGTCTCCTGTTAGATCAGCAGTGGCATTAGGTTCTCACAGTGTAACCCGGGGACAAGAGCAAGGCTGCGGGGGCATTCCAAAGAGTGTCACTGTCCCGCGATGGGATGTGTTTTTTTCCAGGTCCTCGGGCTTTCACTCACCCAAGAATGGGGAGGAGACCCAGGCGGTGCGGTAATATTGTTCAGGTAAATATTGGACCCAAAGAGCTTTGCAGAAAAGTGATTTATTAGGCAGAGAGAGAGACAGAAGGAGTGGGGGGTGGGGGGGGGAGAGAGAGAGAGAGAGAGAGAGAGAGAGAGAGAGAGAGAGAGAGAGAGAGAGAGAGAGAGGAGAGAGGAGAGAGAGAGAGAGAGAGAGAGAGAGAGAGAGAGAGAGCGCGCGAGAGCGAGAGCGAGAGCGAGCGAGCCAGCGAGCTTCCACGCTGTCGTGGGAGGGGATCCAGAGATGGAGTCCGTATAGGTAAGGGACTGGGGGGATTTTAACCTCAAAGTTACTCCCGGCCCATTCAAGTTCTCGTCCAGTGAGAGGAGCTTTTCCAAACTTCCTCTGGAGTGATTGATCTTGGACTCTGACGCTAGATTGGTTGTCTGGCTCGCAACAGAGTCCCTCCTTTCAACGCTTCTGGCGGGCTTTTTAAACAAAGGAAGCTCACCTGGGCTGTCTACCTTCTGCTGTGGGAAAGTTAGACAAAGAACTCGAGGCTCCTGGATGCAGGGTTGGAGAGAGATGTGGCACTGGGAAGCTCTTGCCTTTGAAACCACGCCCCCTGTGGCCCCGGGAAGAGAATTTAACATAGTCCCTCAATAAGACTGCAATGGTGCAATTTCAGCTCACTGCAACCTCTGCCTCCCGGGCTCAAGTAATTCTCCTGCCTCAGCTTCCTGAGTAGCTGGGATTATAGGCATCTATCACCATGTCTGCCTAATTTTTGTATTTTTAGTAGAGACGGGGTTTTACCATGTGGGCCGGACTGGTCTTGAACTCCTGACCTCAGGTGATCCACTCAGCCTCCCAAAGGGTTGGGATTATAGGCGTGAGCACTTGGCCCTAGAAGGAGGTTTTTTTTTTTTTTTTTTTTTTAAGATGGAGTCCAGTGACTGGACTCCAGTCACTGAGGCTGGAGTGCAGTGGCACCATCTCAGCTCATTGCAACCTCTGTCTCCCGGGTTCAAGTGATTCTCCTACCTCAGCCTCCGGCAGCTGGGACTACAGCCACGCGCCACCACGCCTGGCTAATTTTTTATTTTTATTTTTTGTATTTTTGGTAGAGCTGGGGGTTTCACCATGTTCTTCATTCTGGTCTTGAACTCCTGACCTCATGATCCACCCCACTTGGCTTCCCAAAGTGCTGGGATTACTGGCGTGAGCCATCGCTCCAGGCAGAAGGACGATTTAACGGTAAAGTACACCCAAACACTGGGCTACCTTTGCAGACTTCTGGGCCTCAAATCAGTCCTGTTGGGGCTAAGTGGGGGGGTCACAATCTCTGCCTTCTTGAATCCCAAGGGAGGGGTTTAAGCTAACTGCATTCCTCAGCTTTCCCCCAGAAGCCTGGGGCCTCAGGAGGAAAGAGATGGCTCCTGCCCAGGCGCAGTGGCTGAGCCCGAGCTCAAGAGTTCATGTCCAGCATGGCCAATGTGGTGAAACCCCATCTTTAGTAAAAATACGAAAAACTAGCCAGGATGATACATACCTGGTACTTGAAAGTAATCCCAGGTACTTGAAAGTGTGAGGCAGGAGAATTGCTTGAACCTGGGAGGCCGAGGTTGCAGTGAGCCGAGGTTGCACCACTGCACTCCAGCCTGGGCAACAGGGCAAGACTGTCTCAAAGACAAACAAACAAACGAGAGAGAGAGAGAGAGAGAGAGAGAGAGAGAGAGAGAGAGAGAGAGAGAGAGAGAGACAGACAGACACACTCAAATAGAGAAACTGAGGCCAGGAGAGGGGCTGAGCTGGCACAGGAAATTCCTCAGTTTTCCAAGCGCAGCCCTCCCCACTCTGCCTGGGAGGAGGTGGTTAGAGTCCTCTGGGTGTGTGCCCCGCAGAGGGAGCTCCAGCCCCGGTGCCCAGGGTGCAGACCAATGAGAGCTCCAGAAAGAAAGACGGTCATTTCCTCCCTGCATCTTCTCCTGGGGCTTTAAAAACCACAGCCTTGGGGCGTGAGGGACCTTCCATCCTCAGGGAGCTCAGAAGACCAGAACATGGTGAGTCCCGAAGGGCATGGGGGCAGGAAGCTTTGCCCTGGGTCCCTCCCATCTCTGCTCTCCGGAGCCCTTCTCTTCCCCAGCTGTCACCATCAACACTGTCCACTGTCCATTTCTCCCTTTCCTTCCTCTCTCCCCATCTTCCACCTGCCTCTTTCCCTGTCTCCCACATCCCAGACTCTCACACGCCAGGGCTGGGATGTGACCACGGGAGTAAGATTGTCGAGATTCGGGGAGCCATAGTGACCTCACAGGGCTGTGGTCCTGAGAAGGTTCCCCAGGGGAGGGACCTTTGAGTTGGGTCTTGTAAGGTGACTAAGCACTCACAGCCGGGCACGATGGCTCACGCCTGTAATCCCAGCACCTTGGGAAACCAAGGCGGGAGGATTACTTGAGGCCAGAAGTTCAAGACCAGCCTGGCCAACATAGTGAGACCCCATCTTTATTTTTTAAAAAGAGAATTCCACAAATGAAGAAATCTCCGCTCACTGCAACCTCCACCTCCGGGATTCAAGCAATTCCCCTGGCTCAGCCTCCCCAGTAGCTGGGACTGCAGGTGCTCACCACCACACCCTGCTAATTTTTTGTATTTTAATAGAGATGGGGCTTCACTGTGTTGGCCAGGGTGGTCTCAATCTCCAGACCTCATGATCTGCCTGCTTCGGCCTCCCAAAGTGCTGGGATTACAGGTGTGAGCCACCGTGCCCGGCCAGATGTTCTTTTCTTTTTCAACTTGGGGTCTTGCTCTGTTGCCCAGGCTGGAGTGTGGTAGCACCATCATAGCTCACTGCAGCCTTGAACTCCTGGGCTCAAGCGATCCTCCCACTTCAGCCTCCTGAGTAGCTGGGACCCCCGGCACATACCACTATGTCCAGCTAGTTTAACTTTTTATTGCTATAGCGATTGGTTCTTGCTATGTTGCCAGGGCTGGTCTTGAACTCCTGGCCTCAAGCCATCCTCCCACCTTGGTCCCCCAGAAATTACTGGCATGAGGCCATTGTGCCCAGTTGTTTCTGATGTTCTGTATGATAGAGATGGGGAAACTGAGGCCCAAGCAGGTACAGAGATGTCTGGGGACCGTCCGTGGTTGGTGGCAGAACCAGGTTATGCCATGGGTTCTGGGAGAGTCAGAGGGAATGCACCCCAGGCTAAATGAGGGGCCCCTGTCATCGCTGTGTCCGGAGGTCTGCGCGCCGAGCCAGCAGAGCTTCGATTCAGCACCTGCTGTAACACAGGCGCTCGCTTTGCTTCATCTGCGAGAAAGAGGAAACGGAAGGCGATTTGGATGGACGGGGAGGGGTCTGATGTTGCTTCACTCCTGCATGAATCCCTTGAGATCCGACTTGGGCAAACAGGACTCTGCTGCCGCTTTTTTTTTTTCTTACCAAAATGTATTCCAAAGTACCTAAGGATACTTGGTAAAAACCTCATTCTCCCTGCTCACCGCAGAGCTCACTGCTCACCTCTGGCTCCTCTTCCCTTCTCTCCTCTTCCCTTCTCTTCTCTTTTTGAGACCGAGTTTTGCTCTTGTCACCCAGACTGGAGGGCAATGGTGCGATCTCTGCTCACTGCACCCTGTACCTCCTGGGTTCAAGCGATTCTCCTGCCTCAGTCTCCTAAGTAGCTGGGATTACAGGTGCGCGCCACCACGCCCAGCTAATTTTTTGTATTTTTAGTAGAGATGAGGTTTCACCACGTTGGCCAAGCTGGTCTCGAACTCCTGGCCTCTGGTGATCCACCCAGATTGGTCTCCCAAAGTGCTGGGATTACAGGTGTGCACCACCACGTCTGACCCTCTGACTCCTTTTGCCCCCCCCCCCACTCAGAAGCCAGTTTGTGGTGGATCTTTCCAGAAACAGTCTGCAGATGCCTGAGAGCACAGGCATTTAGGGAACAATGTAAGGACTGTGTGATTCGGGGAACCCCAAAAGCGAGCTCAGCTTCCATCTCTGCTGTGAACTAGCTGCAGAGATCTGTCCTCCCTGTGCTTCTCTCTCCTTATATATATTTTTTATTATACTTTAAGTTTTGGGACACGTGCAGAACGTGCGGGTTTGTTACATAGGTATACACGTGCCGTGGTGGTTTTCTGCACCCGTCACCCCATTATCTACGTTAGCTATTTCTCCTAATGCTCTCCCTACCCTAGCCCCCCACCCTCCAACAGGCCCAGGTGTGTGATGTTCCCCTCCCTGTGCCCATGTGTTCTCATTGTTCAACTCCCACTTATGAGTGAGAACATGCGGTGTTTGGTTTTCTGTTCCTGTGTTAATTTGCTGAGAATGATGGTTTTCGGCTTCATCCATGGCCTTGCAAAGGACATGAACTCATTCTTTGTTATGGCTGCATCTTTTTTGTTTTTTGAGACAGTGTTTTGCTCTTGTTGCCCAGGCTGGAGCATAGTGATGAGTGATGCGATCTCTGCTCACTGCAACTTCCACCTCCTGGGTTCAAGCGATTCTCCTGCCTCAGCCTCCCGAGTATCTGGGACTATAGATGCCTGCCACCATGCCTGGCTAATTTTTGTGTTTTTAGTAGAGATGGGGTTTCACCATGTTGGCCAGGCTGGTCTTGAAATCCTAGCCTCAGGCAATCTTCCCGCCTCAGCCTCCCAAAGTGCCTGGGCTCCTTCTCCTTATCTTTAAGGTAAGGATAATACTAGAACCCACGTCGTAGGCTAGTTGAGAGAACTGAATGAGCTGAGGCATGAAAAGTTCTTGTAACAGTACCTGGCATACAGTTGGCGCTCAATGTGGGTGACATTTCTATCCTTTCCCAGCCTCGCAAACAGCAGTATGTTTTGTACGGTACTCCACACCTGGCTCTTTTCATGACTAACATGCAGTATTATTAACTAGCATTTATTGAGAGCTTACAGCATACCAGAGGCAATGTATGCGGGCATTCGTGAATATCCCCGACATCTTTGAGGAAGGCACTCCATTCCCGTGTATTTCAAGGGAGTTGCCTCCTCCTCCTCCTTTTCTTCCTTTTTTGGAGACAGGGTCTACTGAGGCCTCCCACCTCCGCCTCCTGAGCGGATGGCACTGCAGGTGCATGCCGCCACACTCGGCTAGATTGAAAACATTTTGTAGAGGGGGGATCTTGCTGTGTTGACGAGACTGGTGCGTCTTTCTTGCTTTCTTCCATCAGCTGAGTAATATGCCAATAGGAGGTGTTGTCCCCTGTCAATGGAAATTTAGGTCACTTCCAATATTTGGTCTTTTTTTTTTTTTTGAGACGGAGTCTTGCTCTGTTGCTCAGGCTGGAGGGCAGTGGTATAATCTTGGCTCAGAGCACCTCTGACTCCTGGATTCTGGTGATTCTCCTGCCTCAGCCTCCCAAGTAGCTGGTCTTACAGGTGCACGCCACCACACACAGCTAATTTTTAATTTCTAAAAGTAGAGATAGGGTTTCACCATGTTGGTCAGGCTGGCTTCGAACTCCTGACCTTGTGATGCCCCCGCCTCGGCTTCCCAAAGTGCTGGGATTATAGGCATGAGCTATCATGCCTGGCATTTTTTTTTTTTTTTTTTTTTTTTTTGGGATAGCATCTCTCTGTCATGCTGGCTGTAGTGCGTCATGGCTCACTGCAGTCTCAACCTCGATGGGCTTGAGTGATCCTCCCACTTCAGCCTCCTAAGAAGCTGGGACTATAGACATGCACCAGCACACCAGGCTAATTTTTATATTTTTGTAGAGATAGCGTCTCACTGTGTTGCCCAGATTGGTCTGAAACTCCTGGGCTCAAGTGATCCTCCTGCCTCAGCCTCCCAGAATGTTAGGATTACAGGCATGAGCCACCACGCCCGGCCCAATATTCACTCTTTAAAACCTAACTGTACCTCTGCTTACATCTTTGGACCAATGATTGGGTTTCTAGAATTTTAAAATCTGATTCCCAGGGATGGGCAACCTCCCTCCCTCCCTCCTTCCCTCCCTCCTTTCCTCTTCCTTCCCTTCCCCCCTCCCCTCCCCTCCCCTCCCCTCCCCTCCTTCCTCTCCCTTCCCTCTCTTCCTCCTTCTCTTCCCCTCCTCTCTCCTCCCCTTCCTCCCTCCCTTCCCTTCCTTCCTTCTCTCTATCTTTTCTTTCTTTTTCTATTTTTTTTTTTGAGACAGAGTCTCACCCTGCCACCCAGGCTGGAGTGTAGTGGCGTCATCTTGGCTCACTGCAACCTCCACCTCCCAGGTTCAAGCAATTCTCCTGCTTCAGCCTCTCAGGCTGTTGGGATTACAGGCGTGAGCCACTGTACCTGGCCTCACCCTAGATCTGGGGAGTCTTTCCACATCATTATATAAACAACTTCCTCATTCTTTTTGTTTTTATTCTTAATTGTTTTGTAGAGATAGGGTGTTGCTATACCCAGGCTGATCTTGAACTCCTGGGCTCAAGCAATCCCACTGTATCAGCCTCACAAAGTGCTAGGATTACAGGCATGAGCCACTGCACCTGGCCAACTTTTTCATTCTTTTTGATGGCTGTATAGTATTCCATTGCCTGGATGTACCATCATCAACTTAGTCCCCTCTCTCTGGACACTCCATTATTTCCAGTCTTTGGAGAGGTCCTGCAGGGGCAAATCTTTGCAAGCCGTTTGCATCTGAGAATCCTGGAAACCACAGGATGTTAGAATCAGCATCTTTTCTCTGCTTTTCTGAAGGCAGCCAGAGGAAAGGACAGAGTGAGCTCATGCAAGGAAAGGAGCTTTGTCAGCTGATGAGGGAGTGACAAGGCAATGTCAGGGTACAGAGTGGGGACGCTGCCCTTAGGAGAGTCTGAGTCACTTTGCAGCCAAGGATTGCGGGCACTTGTGAAATCAGCAGAGGCAAAAGTTACCTTCATGTGTGACAGCCAAGGGTGACATTCAAAATATTTAACAATGTGCCAAAGTACAGGGGACCCCTGAGCAGGGTCTAGGGTTTCCTGCTGCACCTAGCATTAACTCTTTAGTGACATGAGTATGGGGACCTGGAGTGTGGGTGTCCCAGATAGAAAACAG